TGCCATTAGATCCTTAGAGGTGTTCATGTTTTAATGATAGACATATTATGTTTCTTAAGATTCATTGATTACCCATGAAATATTCTCAAGAAGATTGGGATCATCTCTTCCTGGTCTGTCTTTCTTTATCCAAATATTGGACTAGTAAATTCTTACACGACCAACAATCTTTTTTTCTTTGATAAAGTCACTCTCTAATTATCAACCATCTTATAACAAGCAAATAAATCCATGTTGTCGAACTATTCAAGAAATTTATTGGGGTTATGGACTCCATCAAACATGAATGCTTCTAATGCTACATTTCTAGTTAAGCCACCAATTTTTCAATAGTCCCAATTTAATCATCTACCCTAAGATAATTCTTGTGGTCTTATTCATACTTAACATAACTTTGCTTCTCTGCGCGTACATTCCTAGATGAGAGGAGTTAGGTGGTTGCTATAGTTGTTGTTCACAGCCTAATGTTCAACTAAACAATTTGGCCCATCATGACTTCAAAAAAAGGTTAGTAATTATTGCTATTATCCACTAGGATTTAATAAATTTGCTCTAATTAACCATTATGATTATTTACCCAAACATTTAGTTCATTACTCATTTTGGCTTGTCCCTCAAATTGCTTCATGTTAGTTAACTTTAGCTTAATCTTATAAATGTGAATTGAAGTTGTAGATATAATGTAATAGTGCAAGAAGCTGATTAAAAAAAAATATATTTTTTAAAAAAGTTTTATCCAAAATCTATTGCAAAAACACTTCTTTCTGTAGGTTCTTCTTCAAATCTAGTTTCTTGCTTAGATAACAATTATGTTAGGGTGATAGTTAGGGCTTGCTTTAGAGAGATAAGTTATCTTGAGCTAGGATGCTTCAATTGATATCTTTGACATTTTGAAATTAATAAGCTAAGATTTAGATGGGTCAAACTATTAGAAACACAAAATTATACAAAATATGGCCCAAAAATTTAAAACCCTTAAATCTTACTTTAGCCTTTACACTAGAGAAGAAAGCTAATCCCAATGATTATAATTAGTTAAATAATTTTATTATATGATGTTTAAATGTTCCTAAAAATATTTATAATTTTTTTTGGCATTTTAATTATTTCCTTTTAAAAGAATTTATTTGGAGACTAAGTCTTACATAAACCTAATTTGCCCACTAAATTTTGGAGAGATGTTACATAAACCTAATTTGCCCACTAAATTTTGGAGACTAAGAATTTATTTAAAAGAATTTATTTGGAGACTAAGTCTTACATAAACCTAATTTTGCCATGAAAAGGGTTTCTTAGCTTGAAAAAATAACATTAAAAGCTCTAGTTATCTAAAAGAAAAAGTAGCTGATTTGGCATGGAGTTTTTCACTAAATTTTATAGGGATTTAGATTTGGCTAAAGGATAAAAAAATAATACTAGTTCAAATTAATCATAGCCTTGACCTACCACTTGAAGTTGGGATTTCGGTAGAGTTTTGCGTGAGATTTAAGTAGAAAAAAATGGTGATTGCAGGGAGAGCAATAAACATCCCACAACAAAATATTATTATTATTTTTCACAAAAAGAATAAAATGCTTGATGAATAATAGGTTGATAGGATCAAAACATAAAGCTAGACTTTAAAAAATAAAACTAAATTAAAAGAAAAAAAATTAGATTGGCTTAGATTGGCTTGTGATTTGGACAATAGTTCTTGTTTGCTTGACCCTTGTGATTGGTTCAACAACCTTTCATGCATGTGCTACATTAATTCTGCAAAATCTGAAAAAAGAAAAAAAAGAAATTGAACAAGTTTCCAACTTGTTCAATTATGGTTTGACTAAAATTTGGAGATGATAGAATAATTTTGATCTAGGTTTGAAGTAAACCAAGTCCAAACATGTTCAACTAAATTTACTCTAAGTTAGGTAATGTCTAATTAAAAGTTTCACCGAAGTTCAAAATTTGAAGATAATTATCATTTTATTTGAACATGATTCAAATTTAAAACAATTTATCATTTCTCTAAAATAACATAGAGAACATTTATGCCAAAAAAATTTAAAGGACAAAAAGTTAATATAATAACAAACTATACTTTTAACAAGGCATAGCTTACATATAAGTTATAATTTACAATAAAGGCGACTAACTTTTATCACAACTGGTTGAATCAAAAAGATGTTATAAAATCATCTATAAAATAAATATGTTGATTCAATTGTAGGCTATAAAAGTATTTACAAAACCAAACAAATTGAAAAAAACAAAATTGAATGTATATCATTCTGTATGAACAAAAATTGAAAAATAATCCTCGTAACTAAAATCAATCTATGGACTTATAAGTTCAAAAATGAACAAGTTCAACATTGTTTAAACACTAGTCAAACACATAATAGGAAGTCAAATTAAGTGTATAGAGCTCTTTTAACAAATTTTAATCTTATTTGAACCTAATTTTGTATCTAATGAATAAAACTTGAACTTGAAACAATTAATTGATAAAATATATAACACGTACTATAAAGTTGAATCCTTATTAATTTTCTAACCAAGGGATATCATTAATCCCATTTCTATTATAACCTAAGACTATTAGCATTGGAAGGGGTGATGACTAAATTCAATCTTCTATAATGAGAATTTCATGATTAATTAGATATGATAGAAATGCTTATGGTTAAGCTTTGCGAAAACTAAAACGCTCTTTTATTCGCTCACACTACAAATAAGAACTATAGCCCATAATAATGTCGCTCCATCGTTTGGTCCAAAAAAAAAAAAAAATCAATCACTCCAAGTAAACATACAAGTAAATTTGTCTTGTTTTGAATATTTTTTGGTAAATAAAATAAAACCTAAGCTTTTTTAAGAAACACTTCTTTTTCATTTTGAATCGTTTCATAAGACAACCATCAATCACCACGTTTCAAAAAACATGTTGACATGTTTATAAGAATGAAAGAAAAAACTACTTTATTTATTAAGTTTAATCATGCAAAAAAAATATTTCAAAATTGCAACGGCAATAATAATTGTTATGCCTTTTACTTTTTTAAGGGGTTGTTTGATCAACAAATAAAAGAAATCTATTAGATGTTATGAATTTTAATTTTTTAAAGGATTGTTTGCTTGACAAATGCATTCCTTTTTAAAAGATTTAAAATTTAGGTGTTTGATCGAAGGAATTATAAACTTAGTGTTAAATACGAATGAACTTAGAATTCATTCCTTTAATCATTTTTTAATCATTTTCTTTGTATTTGATATTTGTTAGATATGACTGAATTCTAAATACATAACTACGAAAAGTGTTGCCACTTGCCACTACAGCCGCCCGCTATTTTTAAAGGATTGTTTGCTTGACAAATGCATTCCTCTTTGAAAGATTTAAAATTTAGGTGTTTGATGGAAGGAATTATAAACACTAGTGTAAAACACGAATGAACTTAGAAGTCATTCCTTTAATCATTTTCTTTGTATTTGATATTTGTTAGATATGACTGAATTCTAAATACATAACTACGAAAAGTGTTGCCACTTGCCACTACAGCCGCCCGCTATCCAACGCCTTTAACCTACACTGGCTGCCAACAACCACCATCACCAACCACCGCCTCCACCAGCTATTACCTCCACACACCATTGCCTGCCACCACTACCATGCTTGCCCGACACTACCTCTGACCACCATTACCGCCTGCCACCACCACTTGCACAACCACCTATCCCAGCTTGTAATCACCTGCCACCACCAACCATTACCTCCCACCATCATCATTGAACAACTCGAACACGAGCTGCTTAACGAGCCGAACACGAGCTGTTCACGACAACGAGCCAAATTGACAACCCTACCACTTGCACAACCACCTATCCCAACTTGTCATCACCTGCCACCACCAACCATTACCTCCCACCATCATCATTGTTCGTCACCACCACCACCACCGCTACCGCTGTCAACCGCCTCCTCTGACTACAATTACAACCACCATCACCACCACTCCTTCCCACCCAGCTGTCAACCGCCTCCTCTGACTACAATTACAACCACCATCACCACCATTCTTTCCCACCAATAATTTATATTCATTTTTTTTTCAACCCAAATAAAAAATTATGATATCAGAAGTTCATTTTACAATAAATGAAATAATTCGAAAAAAAACATTCCAAATATAATAATTCTGCAATACATTCATTTTATACCATAACACTTTTTCAACAAACCAAACATCTAAGATAAAGTACAAGGCAACATAAAAGAAATCATTGGTCTTAGTTCAAAGAGAATTGTTTCTTCGAAATTATATATTTGAGGTATGAAAAATAAGGATTAGCTGAAGCAAAGATTACATCAAATCCATCACCAATGCCTGAAAGTCCAGTTATTTTAGGCAAAGCATGGCATCAAAGCCTATTCTTTGAAATCCTTTTGTTTCTATAAACTAAACAAAAAGCTTTCTCAAATGTAACAGCTTCAGTTTCAAAATATAAAATAAATAAATGCACCTTTTTTTTATTCCTCCAGTTGGCATTTTTTACAAGAATGAAAAGCAACTACTGTTTCATTAACTTTTTTTTATCATGCAGAAAGGCATTACAAAGAAGTAAAACATAAAAATAAAACTAAAAACAAATGAAATTGAATGCTGTTTGCATGACAGATCATCTCAATAAGGCGACTCATAAAAGAACAAAATAGCTTCCGCAGTATGTGACAGTAAAACTTACATTATGCTAATGTGGGGCTATTGTTTAAATAATCATAAATACAAAAAAATGGCATTGATTTGCTGAATAAACCGCGATACATGGAATGTAAAGTCTCAATCACCAATACCCTTAAATCGGCAAGATAAATTAATCTGGCATACAAGCATGAAAGAAACAAAATTCGAAAAGTTCTCGAGCTCTTTCTGCCATTGGTTTAATTTGAACAAAAGGCGAACTCTTATTGTCTTCTTGTAGTGACCAATCATCAATATATATATATATATATATGGAAGTTAGCCTTGAAGGAATCTAAAATAGAGGCATTAAAATTAATAGATTATTAAATGAAGTTACAGGAGGCACGCTCTAAATGGTAATCTTTGCTTTTCCGAAGAAATCCTACTGCTGACTCTTGAGAACAGGGAATGCTATAACGTCCCTAATGCTGGCAGAATTAGTAAGAAGCATCACTAATCTATCAATTCCAAGTCCCTATCAAAAAATAAACTGTTAGTGGAGAACAATATTTTAAAAACATATAAAATCATGCAGCAAGCAAAAAATGGAGACACCTAACATTTTGCAGACTAAGCACGAGAAAAGGTTCATCAGAAAAAAAAAAAAAGAAAGAAGAAAATTGTTCCATTGCATGTGAAACTAGTAAAGATCTAGGTTTTATAATTGGAAGACTCCTAAACATGTTTCACACTATATGATTGGTTGCATACAAATTAATTCTATATTAACATGCCATTAATCCTTGCATTAAGTAGATTGAAATAACTGCAACACAGAATCAAGAAAATGCAATATTTTATTCATCATTTGCGTACCTTAGAGTGAAAATCTTAAAAATCGCAGGTAATTATTGGTGCACTTTCAATAGTTGCCTAGTAAATACGAAGTGTGTTTTCTTCACTATTTTTATCAAACATTATATCCTTAACAAAGAACAACTAGTACTATGAAACGCTTACTTTCAGTTGTCTTTTCTTGGGTATGCTTATGATAGTTTAATTAGTATTACACAATATGTAATGCTAAAGCTTTCAATCCTTATTTTGTCACCTACTCATCAGTTACGATAAAGTGGTTGATGCCGGAGCTGATATTTCTATGTTGTTTGGGAAGGGAGTCTCATATTTGTAATTACTTCTCTTTTCTTATTTTATGTCTAATTTCTGCTTAGGGAGAGCAGTTTTTAGGGTCCTATCTGTGTACCCTGTCGGTTTCTTTAAACGGAATTGCAGTTTTTTTATTGTAGAGTTGAATCAGGTGATGATCAGGCATCCCCACTGCCTCTCATTTTGAAGGCTTTTGTATTAACTTTTCTCTAAATTCTGGATTACAGTTTTCCGTTTTCAGGTTTCACTATTGTCTTTCTCAGTGTTCGCCATGAAGAATCACCTGAATTTTGGTTTTAGCTTCTTGCAATAGATAGTGTTCTGTGTTCTTGTTTCTTCCCTGCTGTGTCTCCCGTTTCAGGTGGTATCAGCGACTGCATTCTTCCCTCTTTGAACTTCTTCCATCAAAACAGCAGGCAATAAAACATTCAGGACGCCGCAGAGAAAAAACAACGTACGTCCAGCCGAAGAATTAGTCATGAAAGACTTGCAACGAGAAATTTGTCGCTTGCAACTTGCAAGAGATATTGACAGTTCTTGAACATCGGGATTTTAGAGAGAGACAACAAGAATCACGAAATGAGGTGATTGGAAAGGAAGAAGAGAACAAATTCCATCAATAATCTAGTTAGGATGACAGCCTATATGAATACTAAGCCGTGTAAATAGATTTCAGAATCAAAATCAACATTTCTGAATTCGAGGGCAGATTGGATCTGGATGAGTTGCTACATACAGCTGAACAAAATCTTGAATTCAAAGAAGTACTGCAAGAACATGTTGTCAAGTTAGTGGCGATCAAATTAAAAAGAACACATTATAGATGTAATAACATAGAGTTAAAAAAATTAATAATAAAATTAATAAATAAAAATAATAATAAACGGATACTGGCGGTTAGGGAGACACATCCTCTCGAATCAAACATATCACTATCATTCGATCATCTCTCCATTCAAACCATCAATTAGAAGCGAACGAACAAGAGATAGCGGGAGAGATTGAGAGAAAGAAAAACAAAGAGATCAAGAGAGGGAATGAACGTGTGTGCCCTAGCTGAAGAAGTAGGAGGAGGAAGAAGGTAACCTTCGTTCTGTTCTCAAAAGAGAAAGTAGAGGAAGAGAAATAAGGAGAGTTGAAGCCTCTGAGTGCACGCTCTATTGAGTTCGTTGAGATCGAAGCAGAAGAACCGAGTGCGTGCAGTGGAAGAGGAAGAAGAAGAAGTTGAAGGAGAAAACCTTCGAAGTCGAGTCCGAGCTCTGCTTACAGAGTAAAAAAGGAGGATCGGCTTCGTGCATTGTTACCGTGCTTGCGTAAGGTGAAAGACAAGGTCGATGGAGAGGAAGAAGACGTGTGCAAGCAGCTATGGATTGAATCAAGGTCGAAGGCAAGAGAAGGAATAAGCCTTTAATAATCTGTTGAAACAAACTACGACTAAAAAAGAATAAAAAGGAATCCTACGGAGTACTCCAGTAATATACCGCCAAGTGTGCTACATTGGCCCCATTTATTGGAGCAGAACCGCGGAGGTTATTGAGGGGTTATTGGAGGGTTATTCAGCCCAATAACCTCCTAACAACCTCCAATACCCTTCATGTTTCTGCTCCAATAACCTCCACAGTTTTACTTTAAATTTTTTTAGTGTTATTGCGGGATTATTGGGAGGTTATTAGAGTATTAACTCTAATAAAGCCACAATAACCATCCAATAACCCCTAATAACTACGCGCTGAACCTCTTTAATAACCCTCCGATACAGCACACATGGCGACATATTAGTGGAGTAACACACGCAGAGCTGCGTGCGTACTCCGTAGGGAATAATTTCTCTGCTGAGCTCAAATGAGTTAGGGCAGACCAAATGTTTATAAGGTATAATTGAGATTTTAATAAATTAATTTATTTATATTATTGTATGATTAAGTGTTATAATGTGTGGTTATGTTTAATAATCTTATTGGCAAGTTTTATTAAAATTAGGACTAATAATTAGTGATTGCAGTCTCGAAGGAGAAGTTAGAACGCGCGGGTTAGGGGAAGGATCGATCATAACAACTAATAAGAGAAATCTTCACATTCACGTTATGTGTGTGTGTGTGTGTCATGTTAAAATAAAAATTGAAGTACTTGAAGTGCCAAGGATAATTCAGCGGCAAAAAAAGGAGGATTGAATCGAGGATCCATGGAGATGTCACCAAATTCTTATGTTCGTAGATGTTTTAAGTGTCATGGATTTGACCATATCGCTACCAATTGCCTAAATCATCAACTAATTTCTTTCATTGAAGAAGTGAATTCAGAGTAAGAAGTTCAATATGAGAGCAGTTACAACCCTCTCAATGAGGAACAAATCATTCAAGTGGATGAATGAGAACTATTTGTTCTCAAAAGGCTATTGAACACTAAATACAGCTTCGACAATGAATGGCTTCATCATGACATGTCCATGACTCAGTTTATAGTTAATAATAATGTTTGCAAACTTATTATAGATGGGGAAGCTATGAAAATGTAGCTTCCACTATAATAGGGGTAAAACTTGGATTGCTTACAAACCGTATCCTCAACCATACCAACTCACTTGGCTCAAGAAGAGTAACGCAATTAAATTCACCAAACAATGCTTTGTTTAGTTTCTATTGAACAAAAGTTTCACGAGGTGTGTTATGATGTGATTCTTATTGACGCTTGCCATCTATTATTGGGATCCATGGAAATAAGATCGTTGAACAAACCCTGATGGGTTTGCAAACACATTTTCCTTGACTAAGGATCGAAGCCATATTGTCCTAACACCAATGAATAAAGAACTCCCTTGAGAATCATCATCCCAAACCATGAATCAATCGTTATTCTTGAAAATTTTGAAGGAGGCAACAATTAGATTTGCCTTATTCATAGCATAAGCCAACTCCGAGCTCCATTCCATTCCGCAAGAGGTTAAATCGTTGATACATGAGATTGTTGATATCTTTCTAGAAGAAATTCCTATGGGTTTACCTCTCATGCACAAAATTCAACACACTTTTGATTTGATCCCCGGTTCCGTCATTCTGAATCATTCCGCTTATCGAATGTCTCCTATGGAACATGAAGAACTTCAGCGCCAGTCGATGGCTTGATTAAAAAAGGATTAGTTCGATTGAGCTCCAACCCATGGATATCTTTCTAGAGAATTAACATTTATAGTCGGGCAGTGAACATGATAACCATTAAATATAGGTCCAATTCCATGACTCGACGACCTCTTTGATCAACTAAAGGGAGCCACAACCTTTTCCAAGATAGATTTAAAGAGTGAATATCACCAAATTGAAGTAATCCCCAAGGACGAATGAAAAACAAATTTTAAAACTTGTGACATTTTATACGAATGGATGGTGTGTTGTATGGACCATCTAACGCACCAAGTACATTCATGCGCTGAATGAATAAAGTGTTTCAATCTTTTTTATGAAAACTTTATATCAGTTTATTTCGATGAAATCCTAATATATAGCTAAATGATGAAAGAACATTAACAACACATACATATTGCTTTTCAAGCCGTGTTCAACGATTGTTTGCTAACACGACAAAATGTAAATTCATAACAACTAAACTAACTATTTGTGTTTTATAATAAAAACAACAAGCATAGAGATGAATCTAGATAAAATTCTAGCCATTGAAGACTAGCTGCAACCTTCTTATTTTACAAAAGTGGGACAGTCCCATGGTTTAGACTTTTTCTATTGCAAGTTCGTCAAAAACTTGAGCCACGCAATTTTATTGCAACCAACAAGCCCAAATTAGTTTTGAATGTTTGAAGAAGTTAATTACTTATGCTCCGGTATTCGCACTACCCGACTTTAATCATGTGTTCGAAGTTGACTGTGATGCCTTCAGAGTTGGCATATCAAAACAAATTAAAAGAAAGAAGTGCCACATAGGTTGAGCATTTATCTTCCTTCAATTTCATCTTAAAACACAAGTCTATAAATTCGAAAAAAGTTGTTGATGCTCTAAGAAAAAGGAGCTTGATAATTTTAACTTTACAAACAAAGGTTATGGTTTTGCGGTAATATATGAATTATAAAGCCAAGATGTTAATTTCAAAATCATTTGAAAAAAACATATCCCTAGAAATTGCTCATGTATTCCTAGGTGTTCCACTAGAGGAGCCATTCTATCTGAATATCATGATGGAAACTTAGCCAGTCAATTAGGTCTTGATAAGACCTTAGACAATTTGCAAGATAAGTTCTATTAGCCTTCTATCATCAAGGACGTCAATCGCTATGTCAAGCAATGTCGAGTTTGTTGAATTGCTAAAGCTCAACACAAAAAATGGGGCTATATCTTCTACTTCCTGTACCCAAGAGCCCT